GGCGGCTTTGCCAGCTGCACCGTCTCATCGGGGAGGGAGGAGGCGGGGGTGGAATTCGTCGGCAGCGGCGGGCACCATCCCTCAGAAATCGAAGGCCGTGCTAGGGGTAATGGTGGAACACTGCTCAGGAAGCCGCCTGCGTGGGTTGGTTCCGCGTGGTGATCAGTCAGATAGTGAATATACAGTTCAGTTCTCCAGGCCGGTGGTTTCCCTTGCATGTACGCATGTGGGGGAGAGACCTTTTGGGTGTTTTCTGGAACATTTTTGGTAGCTAATACCTTTTGAAGACAATACACATCAGTCCCAATGCGGTCCTTTCTCATGTGTCAAAATAAGCACAATGCTGAGGGCTGTGTTTAAAATTGAAGGAGGGTGGGATGGGGGAGGAAGTTTTGGGAGTGAAGATTTTTATTAAGCTTTCAGACACAACACTTGCGATATGGAATAACTTAAACTGTTGCTTAAGATTTGGGGCGGGGAGGAAGGAGTTCTTTTGTCTCAAGAAAATGTATCACCTTCTACAAGATGGCCAGATTTCTTCACTGGCAACTGAATAAAAATATTTATATAAATAAGAAAGAGGGCAGGAAAATACAGGCGTACACCCCCCCACCCCCCCAAACCAAAAATATTTATCTTGCACAGGATGCTTCATTTGTTATTTACCATGCCTTCTTAGAAGTAACTGCAAAATATTTGAACTTCACGCCAGGTCTAAAGTCTCCCTTTTTTCTCTAACCGAAACAGAAGGAAGAAATGGAGGTGATGACTGAGAAACAGAGAGATACTAAGTATTTCTGGAACAATACTCCTGAAAAAAGTGATTATGAGGCTGTAGAAGCCCTTATTTCTATGAGTTGCAACTGGAAATCAGACTTCAAAAGACATGCAGAAATGAGACCCATAACTCCAGCTTCTGATATGTCAGAAGAGAGTGATGAGACTTTGCTTCCTGGAGCAGCGGACTTTAATGCGATACCAGCATTTGTAAGTTTTTGAATTTGTACATGTGCACGCTTGTTTTTTAACACATAGTGTGGTGATGTGTTGGTAACGCTCCCCTTACTGTATCTGTCTCCCTGCCCAGTGCCTGACCCCCCCCTACAGCCCTTCCGACTTGGAGATGTCGCAGGCGGTCCATCCCGCAGCACTCAGCAAGTCCCTGGCGGAGGCTGCCAAGCCTCCTCTGGCCGGACCTCGGAGAGAGGCGGAGAGGCCTCCAGCGGCCCGGCCTCTGAAAGCTCAAGCGACGAGTGTTATCCGCCACACGGCTGACGCCCAGCTTTGTAATCGCAAAACCTGCCCGGTGAGAACAGCCAGCGTGCTGAAATACCAGGACAGCATTTCGAGGGAAACAAACAGTAAAGAAGATGCCGAAGCGGAACGTCCGGCGCATTCTGCTGCGGCGCCAAGCAGAGCCGGTGATGAGAGTGGCGAGCGGCCAGCGGCAGAAGGGAAAACTGCAGAACCGGCTGTCAGTCCGGTGCCCTTGAGCAAGCCCTCGGTCAGCAGACATCAGCCTGTCCCTGGCTCAGCACAGCATTCGGCGGCAGTGGCACCGCCGTGCCCTGCCCAAGGCAGCGGAGCCCCCCCCGTGCCAGTGATTTGCCAGATGGTCCCGCTGCCCCCAAACAACAACGTCGTCACAGCTGTAGTGCCCAACACTGCACCAAGCCAGCAGCCGGCTCTCTGTCAGCCTATGGTCTTCATGGGCCCCCAAGTTCCCAAAGGTGCTGTCATGTTTGTCGTGCCCCAGCCGGTCGTGCAGAGCACAAAGGCTCCCATTATCAGTCCGAATGGCACGAGACTCTCTCCCATTGCCCCTGCTCCCGGCTTCGTACCTTCTGCAGCGAAAACCACTCCTTCGGTTGATTCTTCAAGAATAAGAAGTCACATTTGCAGCTACCCAGGATGTGGGAAGACGTACTTCAAGAGCTCCCATTTGAAGGCCCACGTCAGAACACACACAGGTTGGTCACTGCTGCTGGATGTTAAAAAAAAAAACAAAAAAACAAAAAACCAAAAAAACCACGAACATAGAAAATTGCAGCTATATGCACAACTTGGCAGTTACCGGATTTGTTCATGGAACAAATTGCAGGGCAGGAATGAAACGCTGTTTTTGCCAGCGTGCATTAGAACGCCGCCTAATCTCTGACAGGAAATCTCCCAGAGGGGAAGCTGACTCAGCAGTTTGTTTGTGCTGGACTTGCTTCGTGTCAGAAGGCGTTCGGTAATGCTGCTTACAAGTGGGGAAGCAAGGTCTCACTCAATGTATAAAGTATGCTTTTCTGGAGTTACAGGCGCCTTATCAGGCATCTCCACAAGAATGCCTTTGTCAGAAACAGGTAAAACTTAGAGATCCTCTTACGAAAGCATACAAGGATCCACTCCAAACTCTTCCTACCTTGGTTATTTTAGAGTAACTTCTCCACGCCTCAGCTCTTAATCACGGTAGCAAGAGAGTCACCTGTGTATTTTCACACAGGCTCACAGTGCTCTACTGGAGCGTCGT